AAAAATGATATTATTTGGGATTATGTTTTGATATGATTGAGTATTAAACATATTAGATCACGATGAGTGTAGAGATGGTAGTCATACTTGTGGTAGCAACTCCATTTGTACAAACACTGAAGGCTCGTATGCTTGCCGATGCAAGAAGGGACATACAGGAGATGGGGAATCTTGCACAGGTTAGAGAGGAGCTGGCTTGGCATCAGTAATTCCTGATCATGTTTAAAACTTTTGTATTTATAATATTTTCAGATATGGATGAATGTAGTCTAAATACTCATAGATGTAGTAAAAATGCTGTTTGTACAAATACTAGAGGCTCTTATGCTTGTCGATGCATGAAAGGATTCACTGGAGATGGGGTTGAMTGCTCAGGTAAAATACAGTTTTGTGCTTTCTCTCAGAACTCCCACTTGATATATACTAAAATCCCTTAATACTTGATAACACTAAATGACATAATTTGTTGTATGTCTATATCTTTTGTGTTTTTACAGATATAGATGAATGTATCCTTGAAGATCACAATTGTGACATCAATGCAAAGTGTGTGAATAACATAGGGTCCTATACCTGTRAGTGCAACASTGGATATGAGGGAGATGGGAGAAATTGTTCAGGTAACTTATGTATCCATCATTTTTACTAAAATGTGTTCTATTTTGGAAGAAATTGTATCCGGTAATAAATAATCTATATAATACACAATATTATTTCAGATGCAAATGAATGTGAAAGTGTATCATTYAATGGCATTTGYMATGAGAAAGCCAAGTGTGTCAATATGGAGGGATCATATAAATGTCAATGTAAAAACGGTTTTACTGGTGATGGCAAGACTTGTTCAGGTTGGTATTGCATGAAACTGAAGAAGAAACCTGGTCATCAAYTTAAAAAGCAAAACGTCTKTATGTTTCCTCATGTATAGCAATTGAGTACTCAAGTGTGACGTCAAAATACTTTTTTCAAATTTTTCGGATTCATTGAAATATCCCTAAAGCCCATGGAAAAAAGTAGCTATCTACCAAATTTCAGCGTCCTAGTGTCATTTATAGCTGAGATACAAGTGATTTTATGGTTGGGTTACGTACAAACGATTGTAAATTTGGTCACATTCCTGGTCACTMAACCATAAAATCACTTGTATCTCCACTATAAATGGCACTAAGACACTCATATTTAGCAAGGATGCATTACAAATGTTGCACTTTCAGAATATGGAGGGCAAATTTAAAAACTCAGATTTTTTCGTTTTGTGACATCACTTGACTATTAATTCCCATGTTTACAATAACAATAATCTATCAACTGATTCCATCATTCTGTGCAATTGTTAACAGATGTAAATGAGTGTGCTAAGAATACTCATGACTGCCATAAAAATGCACTATGTACCAACACCGATGGCTCATATGTATGTAGATGTTTAAGGGATTTCAGTGGAGATGGTAAAATTTGTGTTGGTAAGTAATTTGAGCTGACATTTACATACTTCTGTTGCACTAAATTACAACTTTGTATACACTAAAATTGTCTATAATTRGATTTAATATAGCTGATGAATTGTCTTTTGATAACTATCATTTSCCACTAAATATTTTGACTTTAAATTAAATCTCAGAAATAAAATAAAAAACAGATTTATAAGTAGAGTGCAAACACTAAAAGTGTACAACATAAATGCCACTAAATACTGCTAAATTATGCTAATTCTATTGTTTTCTATTGTTTAATTAACACTATTTTGTAGTAAATAGTGGAAAGTGTTGTTAATGTTTGTACTCTACTATACAAATTTTAGTTTCTTGTCTTGCTGTGTTTCATTGTATTCGGATTGAATAATTACAGAACTCGAAAAAAATAACAGCAGCTTTGAAGTAAACTAAATAGGGTTAAACTTGACAGGATTAACTGCATTTACTCCACTGCTCTAATTTGGAAATAGTATCTTAACAATACAATTTTTAAAATCCAATACAATTTATTATGTCAACGTGTTCATAGCTTTAGATGCTGCACCACAGTGTTCGCCACCTTGTAAGGGAAATACTGTATGTCAATCCCATGAAGAGGGACCTCGCTGTATGTGCAAGACAGGTTTCAAAGGACCAAATTGTGATCAAGGTATGGACATTATCAAACTAATTTGCATTTTATCTTTAAAATTCCATATTGCTACTTATTCCATATTACTGATCATTGTAGCACATCAATTGGACAAAAGGCCGACAACATTCAAAACAATTTATTAAATGGTCTATTGTGTTTCTGCCTTCCACTTAAAAAAGATAAAGTGTTGTTGGAACATGTTGCTTTCTTGCTTTAGTTTTCATTTCAAAGGATTAACAAACATACTTGAAGAAATATTTGAAGAAATATAATGTTATCTATATGAACTAATTGTACATGYCTCATTTTATACAAATGGTTAACAGATGTAAACGAGTGTCAAGTGGAAACTGATAACGACTGCAATCAAAATGCACTCTGTACAAACACAGATGGCTCATATGTCTGTAGATGCATCAGGGGTTTTACAGGAGATGGAAAGATTTGTGTTGGTTAGTTACATTCACTTWAGGCTAGTTTTATTAAGCATAACAATGGCTTAATGTCTACATGCAGACCATATCACTATTTATTTAACAGTCACAGCTTGAATTGATTTATCCTTAATTATAGCAATTAAACCAAATTATGATGAGAATGTGGGTAAAAAAAGCAAAATCAACAAATGAAAATGAGTAARAATACAGCAAATGCGGTCAGRTAC